TAACATAAATTCACAGAGGAAGTACAGTATATGTTAACATTATATTGAAACATCTATTTATGTTTTCCAAAACAACTAAACTCAGAGTTATTGAATCAGAAAAATTAATAATCTATACATTTTTTAATATGTTAAATGAGGAAAACAAACATGTGTTAGGGATGTGACCAAAAGTCAGCGAGTTTGCTGTATATAACATAATATGTAGAAATTCTGTGAATTAAACTGCACAAGCCAGAAAAATAATGCCAAGCAAAAGGATACGAGTCGGCTCACTATAGAACCAACATGATTGATTTATGTTATTTAACAGTTTTGCATTTATGAGGAAAAATATCCATTATGTATGTGAGACCTCTCTGTTACGGTCGTGACAGATGTGAAATTGCCACTTGTGTGATATATAATAGTTTGAAAGCACTGACAGATACATTTGAGCATTTTTGAAGTACTGTCAAATACTTGTTTTGCACAAAAAAAGTAGAAACGGTTTCACTGTTTCACTAAAACTACACTTTTTTTTATGGCAAGGTTGACATTTACATGGAATTGCTCTTATACCAACCCACTTGCATTGTGGTCAGGATGTCAAAGAAAGGTAAACAAAAACCAAAGGTAATCAAAGATCGTGAAAAAAATGATTTGATAACTATTAATCTGGGCCTTTTCAGCCTAAACCCAGATGGACACTTGTGTTACTTAAAATCAAAAGCTTTCATTAATTTTAAATTTCTGGTTGCTGTAGACTACACAATGTGGATTCTTCTAGCTGGGTTCGTGGTTTTGGTGTGTGCTGCAGGTAAAGTGCTGAATATGTCAAATAAAACTAAATAATGACTGTTAATCTTGTTATTTAAAAGCAAGAGTCATGTGTTTAGCACTAAACATCATGCAAGTATGCAATATTATGTTTGTTTTTTGTCTTAGTTAAAGCAGTGTTTATTAATTGAGTATAAACTCACTGTTTTGGAAAGATGTATCATGTCAAAGGTATATTTCTGCCTTTTTACATAGATCACTACAGTACAGTTCACTTCTTTTTCAGTGTATTACGTGTATCTCTTTTATACCGGTGTGCTGTCTTTGCCTCATTCTGATATAGAGGAGCCGTTTGAAGCTTGGTACGATCTTGATGGGAACAGAAGTCGCATTGACTATCGTAATAGCACAGTGCGCACCTTTTAGATTGGAAATGACTTGGTGCCATTTACAAGATTACACCAGTCCTTCCTCCCAGTGATATTAAGTGTTTCAAGCTTAAAGGAACTAAAGATGATCCAATAGAGCTGCAGGAAGCAATCCCTGATGCACAGAGCTTTGAAGTGTGTAGTACTTTACAGGGGCGTTGCTAGGGTCGAAAGGGATAAGGGGCTTAGCCCCAAAGAACCCCCCTGTTTTTTGAAAATGTAATTTTCTGCATGTTTTCAAATCTGAAAATATGATTTATTTTTATAGTGTGTTGTTATCTAATGTGATACAAAGCTACAAACATGTTCATTTGGACAGAGTGATTAACTGAGGTGTAGTGTTGTCAAAATAATGGAATTTCTAAATTCAATACTTTGCAAAATATCGATATTCAATAGGCTACTATTTTTTACATAATAACAATTCTATCAAAAATAGTAGGCTAGCTAAGGCTACAAAAAATAAAAATAAAGATCTATATGCTAGAAATATGTTTACTTTAAATTTCTTCAGAGGGATTTTTTTTTTTCAGTTTTCCTCAAAATAGGGTGATGTGGGCATTGTAGCACTTTAAATGCATGTAATGCCTGTTTTATTCATACTTGAGCAGAAATTCCATATATATTCTTCACAAAAGTAGTAGAACATTCTAGGAAATCCCTAATATGGATGAAGGCATCCAGCTGTTGCTGTAGTAGAATAAAAATACGATCTGAATAAAAATAAAAAGGCTTTAACTGATCATTTACACGACTGCAACAATAAATGTTTTATCAGAAGTCAGAATTATTAGCCCTCCTTTGAATTTTATTTGAATTTGAATTTTATTTTCTTTTTTAAATATTTCCCAAATGATGTTTAACAGAGCAAGGAAATTTTCACAGTAGCCTATGTCTGATAATATTTTCCTTTTGAAGAAAGTCTTATTTGTTTTATTTAAGCTAGAATAAAAGCAGTTTTATATTTAAAAAAAACATTTTAGGGTCAAAATTATTAGCCCCTTTAAGATTTTATATATTTTTCCTATAGTCTACAGAACAAACCATCGTTATACAATAACTTGCCTTATTACCCTAACCTGCCTTTAAAGCCTTTAAATGTCACTTTAAGCTGTATAGAGGTGTCTTAAACAACGTCTAGTCAAATATTATTTACTGTCATCATGGCAAAGATAAAATAAATCAGTTATTAGAGTTGAGTTATTAAAACTATTATGATTATAAATGTGCTGAAAACAATATTCTCTCCGTTAAACAGAATTTGGGGGAAAAAATAAACGGGGGCTAATAATTCAGACTTCAACTGTGTGTTCTTCCAACCATTTTAGGTATTTTCATAAGAAAGTCGATTTATAATTTGATTCAAACTGACATAGCATGTTACAGTAAAATATAGTTATTTAATAATAAGCTAGATGCATAAACTCACTGTGATTTAACTATTACAGAAACAGATGTGACTTGCTATATCATATAAATATATCATATCTAGAAAGCTAGTACAATTTACGTTTTTTTTTACTTGTATTTACATTGATATGATGCACATTTTACTGATTATAGTTATTTTATGTCACCAAAACTACACACATTTTATACTGTGTAAACAAGCTTCATCAGTAGTTAAAACTATTCAGTTTCGCGAAAGAGTTGTATTATTACCTCATTAGCTTCAGCTCCTCAAAATAATAAATGAATGATGTGCAGTGGCGGGATTTTTTTTAACACCATGTGACAACAGAGCCACTCCCACCTGCCGGTAGAAACAGGTACTGCTGAACAGCTGACGGTTTAATTACCTGACACAAACGCTGCGTTAAGTGGAATGTTCGTGATGTATGTGGTAATTTTTAGTACTTACATAACAAAATAAATGTTATACAACATATTTTATTTAAGTGCAACATATTCCAAGAGATCAGGGGCTTTTGACAATACATCAGGGGCTTAAGCCCCCAAAGCCCCCCCCCTCGCAACGCCCCTGGTACTTTAATTTATTTTCTTCATGAAGTATTTGTTTACAATGCGATTTAATATGTAGGCCCACACCAAGTCATTTAATCATTTTATTTAATTGTGTAAAATTAAATATATATTTATTCAGTTTTATATGAATTTCACTAACCTGGATATTTTTGTAAGTGTTTAGATGATATATCTACAAAACAATTTGTAAAGTAATATTTTTATGTCATTTTGTACAACGGTTCCCAACCTTTTTTGCCTGAGACCCACTTTTCCCCTAGAAACAATTATAAGCCCCCTCCCCACATTTAATGATATCACTGCTAATATAAGTTTAAGTAAGGATGACAAAACATTTAGTTTTCATACAAACTGTATGTTTATTACTATATCTAGATATGTTCGTGCACAAATAATAGGCTAAAGTAAAATATATAAACAAAACATCAGTAGGCTATTTGTAACTAAAAAACGTAAACCTTTGGAGATTTGACACTAACTAACCATGATCTCCCAATCATATGATTCCCCATTTACTATAAATAACCACAGTTTTCAGTCCACATTTATCTTTGTATGAAAGAAACCCCCCTTTTCCTCCGCCTTCTCCTTCTTTTCATAGATCGGGCAGCACGGCGGCCCAGTGATTAGCACTGTTGCCCCAGAGCAAGAACACTGCCAGCCCTGGTCCTCGCCAGGCTGGTGGGTGTTTCTGTGCAGAGTTTGTATATTCTCCCCATGTCCTCGTGGGTTTCCCGCATGTCCTCCAGTTTCAGATTAAGCCAGGGATGTCCTGACTCGGTCCTGGAGGGCATGTGTCCTGCAAAGTCATGCAGGTGTGTTGAAGAAAGTTGGAGCTAAAATCGAGTTTGGACACCCCTGGATTAAGCAATTCAGGCACTCGTCTAACTCCCTTCCTCCTCAACTGTTTCCTTAGCTACCACAGCCAGGGAGTTTGAGATCAACCTAAGCTCAAGCTCCCCTTTTGCTCAATGAATGGGAGGGAGCCCTGGGCTTGAGGATCCCTTGAGCTCAGGGCTCTCTCCTGGGTTAGCGTGCCAAACAAGCTCATATTAAATCATCAGCTAAGTGTGAACTCTTGAAAGGTAAATGAAGATGTAGGTCAGAGGTTCTTCATCTCGGTCCTGGAGGTCCGGTGCCTTGCAGATTTTTGCTCCAACCCCAATCAGACACACCTGGACTAACTAATCAAGCTCTTAGGCTTTCTAGAAACATCCTTGCAGGTGTGGTAAAGCAAGTCAAAGCTAAACTCTTTAGGACCTCGGACCTCCAGGACAGAGTTTGAGAATGCCTGGTGTAGGTTATACAGTGGGTTGTTAATTGTAGAGATCCTCTAATTAAAAATAATAAGAAAAAAAAACCTTGAAATTTCTGAAAGAGCCTCAGCCAGATCAGAAAAACAAACAGAAAAGTAACTCAAATGTAACGTAACACTACTTTTTTGTGGAGTACATAATGTAATGCATTACTTTCAAAAGTAACTTTCCACAACACTGTTTCTAATTGATTTTGCATTCTAAACACTTAATGAAAGCTATGTTTGTTTTTTCGTGTCCACCTTGAGCTCATAAACTCTCAAAAACCATTCAGAATAAATAAAAAAAAAAATTATGAAATATGGGCAGAAATAGTAAAAAAGAGGCTGTCTGAACCCGTTTTATGTTATAGACAATAGGACGAATTTAAATAAAGAATAAACTGAATGATCTGCAAATGTGTATAAAATCTTTGTCTGTTTTGCAGTTTGAGAAAATGGAGGATTGCAAAGGCGTTCAGTGTGAGGTCTGGAAAAATGTCAAAGAGGCTGGCCATAAGAAGAATACATACCGTCTGTGGGTCACACGTGGAGAGGCAGCTTATTCTCCAGTCACACCACAACGCTTTGAGATAGAGGGCTTCAACTCTCTTCTGGGATCCCACAATGACAAATACAGCATTGAGTACAGCGACTTCAGCTCACAAACTGAGCCTGATATTTTCACTCCACCTGCAGGTAACATGGAGAAAACACACAATCAAAGAAATGCTTTTTTCTGCCTCTGATTACAGCTCATCCTATTAAATGTTGACTAAGGTGTTGTGTATTTAGGATTTACCTGTGAAGAGTTTCCTGAGGAGCGACAAATATTAGCCAATCCCTTTCAAGACTATGTCAACACCCACCCTGTTAGCCACGCCCACCTGATGTTAGGCCCCTTTAAGGAGAAGTTTAATCGACAGAATGAAAGTGAAAAGGAGCACGAGAAACGCGAGAACCTCTTTCTGCATACTTTCAGGTGATGAATAACAGCTAACATCACATTGAAGAAAAATAGAAATATCTGAACTTGTCTGTTTTTTTTATGTTTTTTCCTTCCTTTTCAGTTTTGTGCACTCCAACAACAGAGCTGGTCTTACATACAGTGTTGGTATCAATCACTTCGCAGACAAGAAAGAGTTGACCAGGATGACAGGAGGTTTACTTCCTAAAAAGAAAAAGGAGGATGCAAAAAAGTCCACAGAATAGTACAACTGACAAAATAGTGGCAAACAAATAATTAGTTTAATAAATGTCTGTCAACAGACCTACACAGTTATCTAATGAGAATTGCGGTAATTTAATCTTTTCTAACCATATAACTTGATTAAATTGATTCTGTATCTTCAAGCTTATTTGGCAAACAAATATGATTTTCAAACCCAACTGTACATCAATTCTGATTAAACTATATATGGAAACCACATGTTTTTTCCCAATAAACAAATAGTTTTTTTGCTCATTTTTGTCACCTTACATTTTTTCTGTGTCGTTTAATGTTTCAAAAATAATTTCCTAAATCTCATTTCCCTACATTTCACTGGTAAGAAATTAAACCTGTTTCGATTTCTGCTGCTACATTCAGACGGTAGGGTCAGAATTTGGTGTCAACAACATGAAAGCATGGATTCATCCTGCCTTGTATCAGCGCTTCAGGCTGGTGGTGGTGGTGTAATGGTGTGGGGGATATTGTCCTGGCACCACAGTGTACCCATCTTCTGATGGCTACTTCCAGGAGGATAATGCACCATGTCATAAAGTGTGAATCATCTCAGACTGGTTTCTTGAACATGACAATGAGTTCACTGTACTCAAATGGCCTCCAAAGTCACCAGTTCTCAATTCAATAGAACACCTTTGGGATGTGGTGAAACTGGAGACTTGCATCAGTGATGTGCAGCCAATGCATAGCGGGATGCTATAGTATTAATATAAGAATTATTGTTGATCTAGTTTTAGATCATGGAGGTGTATGTAGTCAAACCTGTTTGACAAAATCTTTTCAAAGTGATTCATAATCAACTCAAATGAATTGCGGCGCCGCGCGAACTGTTCGCTTGAGTCTCAAAAAATTTTGTGCGCTCCGCCAGCTGAAATCATGAAATATTTAAGACCTAGAACAGCAAATTCAAGACTTTATTTTAATTTCATTTAATTTAGATTTTTAAATTTTAGACTTTAAGACCCCGCGGAAACCCTAACAGAGAATGATCTTAAAGTGGTGGTCTGAAAAATTAAACAAGAATAGACTTGTGCTGCAAACGATGTGCTGACCAGTCTCATTAGGTGAGGTTCATTTTAAATTAAATAAACTATAAACAAATTATATAGTTTTTAGATTACACTTTTTATTGTGTGCGTTGTGAATGATTGTTTATATAGGCATATTGGGGTGTGTGTAAGACCTTGCATTCAACATTTGTTTCTAACCGCCCCTAAAAAATAGTGGGGGTTGTGAGTCATTAGCTATCTTTCCATCCAAAATGTAAACGATCTGGATTATCACATAAAAGACATAAAAATGAAACAGCGTTTCCATCCAATGAGTCAAAGCGAACAAAATAGTCACTTCCTGATAAAGTGGCGCCAAATATCAACAATAAAAACAGAATTTGCTGCAGTAGGAGAAGCTGTTTTAATCTTTTCTTCTTCTAATAAATTACTTACGCCTCAGAAGGCAATCCTGACACGCAGTGAACGCACGGTGGTGTTTGAAGGTGTCAGACGCGGAGCACAGACGCTCTTGATTCTGGAGGTCATTAATAATATAATAACACTAATACTGAAATGGTGAAGGTGTTTTAGAATGGTGTAACAGTGTGCACAGCCTGCTGGTTTGATCATTTACACACATTTTTATCACCACATGATCTCTTTTAACAAAATCACATGACCTTTTTTAATGCACATACTGAAATTTGTGCGGTAAAAATGTTTCCATCGTAGTTTATGCACATTTTTATAGAATAAAAAGTTTATCCTACTCGGTTATGCACATGTTTATGCGTATTTTCAAAATTTATGCACATCATGGCGTTTCCATCAACCGGTTTATGCGCATATCCAAAATGTGCATAAAAATAGGTGGATGGAAACAGCTATTGGCATTATTTTAGTGGCCGTGGGCTGAAAAGTTTGGGAACCCCTGAGCTAGTGTGCTCCAACGAGTAACAAATTATATCTATAAAACTGATAGAAACATTAAACACTAGCAGTTTGTTACTTCCACCAAAACTGTTTAAAGACTTTTTTTCACATCAATTCATACTGGTTTCTCATCAAATCTTGACCAATCATATATTCTCTAGCATTACATTTCCCACCCCCTTTTAAATCACCTCTCATTTGATGCACTTGAGCTCAACCAGTTAAGTAGCAGAAAATCATTCACAAAGTGCAAGATGACTACCTGAAATGCTTGTTACGTTTACTTATGTGAGACAGTGATATGGTTTTACCTGATTATTTGAGATGTAACTGGCACCAAACATCTCCAAAAGTCTGTGATGGAAACTGTATAATGTTATAAAACATTATAAATATTAAAAATTTTATTTTAATCAAATAAACACTCTGCTAAATGTTTCAAGCTGTGGGAAAAGGAAGATGCAATATGCCAGACCCAGCAATAATAAAGGCCACTGTCAGAACACCCTGGGCTCTCATTACACGCGAGCAGTGCCACAGATATACAAGTCTCCCTTCTTGAATGGAATTAGTAAAATAGATCGACTTCCTGAAGATATTCTAATTATATGACCAGCACCTTTACATAGTATGCAAGTTTGACACCTGGTGGTTTAACTAGGTATAGGTTACAAGATTGACGATATCCCCACATTAAAAGGTGAGAGATTTTGCCCTGACCAACCTGAAATCTCTATTTTAGAAACTGCTTCTATTTCTAACAGCTAAACAACAGGGTAAACGATGACAACGATCACCTCAGGTATAGCTCATGTGCTTTATTTACTGTTAAATGCTAATAATGTGAGCTTGAATGTCATTTTTACGTGACAGCGCATGTAGAGGCATGATAACGGCTAAGCTGAACAGATTGAAAAGACATTCCTTCATCTGTGTGGCTGAGGAGTTTGACGGCCTCTCCAACTGTGTTGAGAAAATTTCCATTCACTGCCCGGTAGTGGAGAAGGACATCTCTATCGGACTCATTGCAGTCTGGTCCTGCTGCTCTGGAATTGATCCGCCAGAGTGCTGATCTTGATCTCTGAGCCTCCATCTCTACAGACTGATGGCTCCAGCTGAACCCACTGATCTGATTCAACAATGTCAACCCAAGACTGACACACAGAGAGCAGATGAAGGTTTTGTCCAGATGGTTTAGATACTGATTTTCCGCCTAAAAAATAAAATAAAAAAAGTGATGTGATAGTAAATGGATTAAAAAAAAAGAAGAAAAAAAGATATCTTCACCCTTTCAACTTTTCTAAAGCTTTTAATTTGAAGTCAATGCCAGAAAAAAATATACCATAAATAGGAAACACCTTTCTTGTGTAAGGCTATGGGCTCTACTTTAAAAGGTGCAGTATGCAAGTTTGACATCCAGTGGTTGATCTAGGTTTTGCACTAGGCTTGGCCAGTAATATGTTATACGGCGGGATCTAAAAATAGCAACGTTGTCAGTTTCAATACTGTTATACCATCATAAAATGCAATGCACTTAAATAGGGGACAAGTATTAAATAACAAATATTATTTATTTAATGCCTACAAATGCGTATGCATGATTGTCATGATGAGACAGTGTGGAAAGAGACAGTGAGGTAAGGAGAGTCGTGCAACAAATGACCTGACATTTGGCAGTATTTCTGACGGAGTCAGAGCACACATTATTTCTCAACTGAACGAGAACTAAGACCAGGTAAACACGAACTGGAGGTCTGCATTCCTGATGCTGCAGCGCGGGAGCCGACCAGATTTCTTGCGGTGCAGGAATAAATTTCTGAATAAAGCATGGGAGCGGTCGGTAGCTATAGTCTAAATTGAAAGGGAGCCGCCCTGAGGTCTAAAAATATCGCTCCCAAGTGAGTGAGCATGCATAGATGCTGTTTGTTTGTGTGTGTGTGTGTCAATTAAGAGCACATCAGCGTTCAGATTAATCAGTAGTTTTTTCACAAACCATCGTGATGACGTGACATTTAGGTTTTAGACACCGTTTCTATTTCTGCAACACATGATTAGCTTACGTCGCATGTTTTGCGTGCACTTCACATTTTCGATTTTTTTCGTGACATTTAGACTTTAGACACCGTTTCTATTTCTGCAACACATGATTAGCTTACGTCGCATGTTTTGCGTGCACTTCACATTTTCGATTTTTTTCGTGACATTTAGACTTTAGACACCGTTTCTATTTCTGCGACACATGATTAGCTTGCGTCGCATGTTTTGGTGCACACTTCACATTTTCGATTTTTTTCGTGACATTTTTTATTTTAGACACCGTTTCTATTTTTGCGACACATGTTTAGCTTGCGTCGCATGTTTTGCGAAGGCACGGTGTAAGGCACTTGACCAGCCAGTGCACACAGCTGCCACCTGACCAATCAGAGCACCCCAGGCCAACCGGTCGA